TTAAATCAAGGGATTGTATCCTGTTCTGTGCCTAGTATCCAGAGTGAAAAATTCCCATTTCTAATTTTGAGGCTTCAACGTTGCAAGGGTTTGTCTGTGTTGTGTAATTACAGTGGCATTTGGGTTTATCAGTGTGTATAAGTATGTTTATTAGGGAAGGAAGAGTGGGGCTAGAGGGTAAGCAAAGAGGGATTCTTGTCAGACTCCTTTATCCCTGTTCAGATTTGTAAGTGGCCTATATTACATGCAGACTAAAAATAGAGCAGATAATCTGCAGCAAGTATAAAAAATATCCTTACGATCGTATACCTGACAGGGACTTAGCAGTTAGAATATACAGAGAGTGTTATGAAGTAGAAGAAAGGAGGCATGGTATGGAAGAGTGTTGATGGTGATCTGTTAGTGATGTGAGCCCAAGGGGGACAAAAAGGGTCTGTGTTGTTTATTTCTGTCTCACCTAGCATGTCGCAAGAGGCAGTGCACATTACAGGTGTGCAGGGATTATTTGGTGACTAAATGAGTGATCACAGAACAATCAAAAGAAGACCTGTGAGAATATAAAATTCAGTCAATCGTAGAAAGCTTTGTGGAACTCTCCCTTTAAGTTTGGAAAAAAGCACTACACACAAGGAAACAGGATGCAGAAGTAAAGTCCAACCACAGTATAAGGTGAAAACCAAACTCATTTGTTGATCAATTCAGGGACATATGCTACAGAGCTCCTCCTGATCTGATGGCTCTTTTACTCAGGATCTTTGGGCTTCTCTCTCTCTTTCTGTTATCACTGGATATAATGTGCATGGTTAGTTATCTTAATTTCTAAACAGATTCTACCACTAGGTGAGTGAAAGAGACTTGAGTCTCTATAGTGATTTTACATTAGCAAGTAGTTTTGAACTCCTACCAAACGAGCATGACTCTAAAGCACTTCATATCTCAGTGATTAGCCAAAAATAATTTTTATCTGTGCAGTTTCCTGTTAAAGTATCCAAAATGGGGTTAATAACAGAACCTACTCATTAGACCGCAATGAGAGCCTGATCTGTGCAGGTGTGTTGTCACTCTTATTAACCAGGTGAGGCACTTTTATTGTCCATGGTGCATAGGCTGTCCTACAATGCAATCACTTCACTTTGGTGAAGACTGAGATAACATTTTTCTGAGGCATAGATAGCACGTTCTTCTAGGTACATTGGGCAATTAACACATAATATTGATATCTAATTAATTGGTTGCACATATTAGAGTAAATATTAATTAGGCAAAGTAGCAGATGTTCAATATCAAGCTGGAGAGTTAGATACAGAAGATTGCTATTTTACAGAATGAATATACAAAGAGATTTTTCAGAGAAACACCAGACTTCCCCATTGCAGGAGGTAGCCTACTGACAATTAGGGAAGACTGACTGTGAGCCTCTGGAGGTGAATCAAAACTGGCAAAACATGTTGGAGACCGTCCAGAAGTGATTGTTTTCTTCCATTTAGTGAGTAAGGGCAAAACCAAAATTGAGAATGGTAGAAAAATGCAGAAGTTTCTATTTCTACAATGTAACCTAAGTTTAATAAAGCCCATGAATAAAGAGAGTCATACATTTTTAAGTTTTAACCTTTAAGCAAAATGTAATAACCTCTGTTAATTAAAAAAAAAAAAGAAAATGTATTTGGTCATTATTTTCTTCATCATTTCCACATAATTAACTTTGTGCAGGTTGCTGTAATGCTAGAAAGCTAATGTAACATATCACTTCAGGGTAGAAATAAAGTAATCATCCCACTCTGCTTCTCTTACCTTGATTCATTGCTCAAATATTTCTATTCTTGGAACATTACTGCAGCTTTGGTGCTAGGAAAATTGCTGGCAGAGGAAGAATGATTCTGCAGCCTCTTATCCTTTGCAATTTTCGCACCATGCCAATGTCTAACTTTGCAATCACGCCATCTAGTGTTCAAATGTGTTCAATACGGTAGCTCACAGAATGCCTTACTTCATTAGAAGTGAAATAATATGGAAGTAACAAGCAAGTTACCTTAAAAACAGTGTGCTTGAGGAGAGTCAGTGTAATGAACAGATCATCAATGAAATGCCAAGACAGATTCCTTGTTAAATATATCTTTCTTGTTTATCGTTATTATCTCACTTATTCCTGCGTTTATAGTTATTAATAAATATTTGATATGCTCTATTTATATAGTCACAGCATTTTACATAACATATTTTGTATATTGAAATATGTACTTATTTATTTTATATTTTATTTTATATTCTTCTTTGAACCTACCTATAACTTTAAAAAAATTGTCATTGACTCTGAAGGCAAATAAACCCAACCCAGTGATGATGGTGGACCAGATTAGAGCGGGATCCAAAGGTGGAAATAGTTTGATGGAGTATTTAATGTCACTGTATATCCTGCCCTGTGCTGTGGTTTTCTTACTACTAGTGACTGTACCTTCAAGGGTCAGATGCTTTGCTTTCTGAAGGCAACAAACCCAACCCAGTGATGATGGTGGACCAGATTAGAGCGGGATCCAAAGGTGGAAATAGTTTGATGGAGTATTTAATGTCACTGTATATCTTGCCCTGTGCTGTGGTTTTCTTACTACTAGTGACTGTACCTTCAAGGGTCAGATGCTTTGC